TCATTATTTTCACTTTAAAGAAAAGGATTTGGAGGCACGGCGGGTTAAGCCGTGCACACCGGAGCAGGAATTTAAGCTCCTCTCTGCCTGTCCTTGAAGCTAGAATTGGGCATTTGGGGAGGATCAATTCCTGCCCCTGCCTGACCTCCTACCCATCTGGATGCTGAGAGATGGAGATGGAGGAGCCCAAGGTGGCCTGGGCTGAGGATTAATGCAATCACATGATTCTCTTGGTCACCCAGGTCCTGCCACCGCCCCTGGTGCCCGTGGTTCCGTTCAGTCTGGTGGGTGGCACCAGTGACAACAGCAGGTTAGACCCAGCCCCAGAGTCCCAGAGAGACCAGACCCTGAGACAGCAGGGGCCCTTGGCCTTCCCCTTACCTGCAGGGCACCCTGCTGTCCCCACCAAGCCAGCAGGTAAGATGAGGGCAGGGCTGCTGGGGGTGTGATGAGCCAGGATTTTAATGGTACAGTCCTCTCACGGTGAGAGGACTGAAGGAAATGTAACCCTGGTGACTGAATGAGGGGCTGTGGCTCTTATTGTGATAAAAACCAAAATTCTTACTCTGGTATGAACAGGAAAGGAGGCGCTTTTATTTTAATGAGGGGTCAGGGAATTTAAGACTGCTACTTTGGTGAGAATTTGAGCTGGTTCAGAGGGCCATGCTCAGGACTCTTATTCTGGTGAGGAGACCATTTTACCAGGATTTAAGAACTCCAGGATCTACATGTGCTGTAGTGAGAGAAGAGTGACTCAGTCTTATTCAGGTAAGGAAATCGGTACTGGAGCACTTATTCTGATGAGAGAACGGGAGAAGACTGCTATTCTGGTGAGGGGACAGTACAAATTAGGACTCTTATTTCAATAAGGGGTTGGTTGGTCTAGGCTGTACTTACCCCATATCTCTGTGCCCACAGGCCCATGGCAAGATTGTGCAGAGGCACGCCGGGCAGGCCATGGGCAGAGTGGAGTGTATGAGCTGCGACTGGGCCGGCATGTGGTGTCAGCATGGTGTGAGCAACAGCTGGAGGGCGGGGGCTGGACTGTGATCCAGAGGCGGCAAGATGGTTCAGTCAACTTTTTCACTACCTGGCAGCACTACAAGGTGAGCGCAGGTAGGTAGGGGCAGGGCTGGGCAGGGGAGGGGACCTGCTCCTAACTTCCTGACTTTCCTGCCAGGCGGGCTTTGGGCAGCCTGATGGGGAATACTGGCTGGGCCTTGAACCTGTGCATCAGCTGACCAGCCGTGGGGACCATGAGCTCCTGGTACTCCTGGAGGATTGGGGAGGCCGTGGTGGACGTGCCCACTATGATAGTTTTTCCCTGGAGCCTGAGAGTGACCACTACCGCCTACGGCTTGGCCAGTACCATGGAGATGCGGGAGACTCTCTTTCCTGGCACAATGACAAGCCTTTCAGCACTGTGGATAGGGACCGAGACTCCTATTCTGGTAAGGAGCTCTTATTGGGGTGGAGGGAAGGGGAGGGCGGGGAGTAAGGGAGATGGTACTTCTAGTCACAGTATGAAAGGGATGGGTTCTGGTAAGGGTATGCGAGAGAACAGAGGACAGGACTCCTGTTCTGGTGAAAGGCAGGGCAAGCATGTGGGGAGTATGGGGGCAGTGTATGAGAGCTAGGACTCTTATTCTAGAACAGTGGTTCTCAACCTCCTGGCCCTTTAAATACAGTTCCTCATGTTGTGACCCAACCGTAAAATTATTTTCGTTGCTACTTCATAACTGTAATGTTGCTACTGTTATGAATCGTAATGTAAATATCTGATATGCAGGATGGTCTTAGGCGACCCCTGTGAAAGGGTCGTTCGACCGCCAAAGGGGTCGCGACCCACAGGTTGAGAACCGCTGTTCTAGAAAGAAAGTAGAGATTTTTTTCCCTGGTAAAGGAATGAGGTAGAGATCCTCATCTGCAGAAAGGATAGGAAAAGTGTGACTTGTACTTTGGTAAGGGGATAGGGAAGGAATTAAGGCCATTACTCTGAAGAAGAAAGTGCTGGCGGGGCGGGGGAGGGGGGAAGGGGATGCCTGGCTAAAGCCTTGCACTAGTGAGGTACTGGTAGAAGCTTTTATTATGGTGAGAGGACATGGACTCTCTCTCTCCCCTCAGGTAACTGTGCCCTGTACCACCGGGGAGGCTGGTGGTACCATGCCTGTGCCCACTCCAACCTCAATGGTGTGTGGCACCGTGGTGGCCACTACCGCAGCCGCTACCAGGACGGTGTCTACTGGGCTGAGTTTCGTGGCGGGGCTTACTCTCTCAAGAAGGCGGCCATGCTGATCCGGCCCCTGAGGCTGTGACCATCTGTCCCCCAGGGGATGTGTGTCAGCAGGAGCCCAAGTTGTCCTGGCCACACCTCCTTTAGGGTCAGTGTGAGCCCCGTCCCACAGACCCTCCCACTGTGGATCTGCTCCCCAGGACCCTGAAAGTAGGACCCAGGAATCCCCCTGCCAACATCTCCAACCCGTGTGGCTCCCCAAGGGCACTCAGATCTCGGTTTGAGCTCATATTTTATAACAACACAAAATATCTACAGACTGTGTCTGGTTTGCATCCACACCTGGCACGGGTCACTCCTGGGGCCCACCCTCCTCCTCCTCTTCCTCCTCCTCCTCCTTCAGGTCCTCCAGGATGAGGTTGTCCAGGTGTTCTAGGAGGCTCCCCTGGCTCAGGCAGGTGCCCACCGTGGAGCCACTGCTGATGTGGAGGTTGCTGGGGTGCAGGACTTTGGGCAGGTGGTTCTGCTTCCGGCTCTTGGGGTGTGCGCAGGAGGTCCCAGGCACATGGGGCTCTGGGAAAGGAGGGGTTCTGAGGTCCTGGAGCTTGAGGTCACATGAGACTCTGGGGACAAGGGGGCTGAGGCCAAGGGCGCTCTGGGGAGGGAAGGGGCTGAGGATACAGACTCAGAGCTACAGGAAATTCAGACGTGAAAGTCACAGGTGTCAAAGCCACAGGAGACCCGGGGACATGGGCATCACCTGAGACTTCAGAAGACAAAACAGGAACCAAGAATACAGAGCCTCAAGGGCAAGACCATGGAAGGTGGCTGATGCAATGGGAGGTAGCGCTGGAGGCCACAGAGACGCGGGGCGCCAGAGAAGACATGGAAGAAGGGGCTGATGCCATGGAAGAGGCCATGGGGACTGAGACCTTGGTACTTAAGGCCCCAGAAGTTGATGTCCTAGAAGTAAAAGCCAAGTAGACCCCCCAGAGTTGGGGGAGGCCAGGCCAGGTCCTTACCTCGCCGGTTGAAGCAGTCAGCAGCGGAGCAGGAGTGGGTGTGGGTGCTGCGGTGATCCGTGTCCCGGTCCCAGCGCGGAGGGAGGATCCGTGTCGGATACACCGGAAAGCCACACCCATAACAAGGGGATGGGGACCCCATCTGTGCCCAGCCCCTGTGGGCAGGCAGGGTCATGAGGGTCTGAGGGTGAGGGTGAAGCTGGGCTGCAGTGGGGCCAAGGCAGGGAGGGCAGGGCTGGGGTGGGGCAGGGCTGAGGGGCGAGGTGGGGGTCAGCATCCTCACCGGAACTTGTGCCTGCACTTGGGGCAGTGGAACTCAGCCACACCCCACATCTTGTCTTCGGGTACTGGCTCATAGCGCTTTCGGCATTTCCTGCACCGAGACACCTGTGGGTGTGGAGAAGGGTGTGGGCTTACTCTCAGAAGAGAACTCTGGTAGCTTATTGTTGGCCACAGTGGGAATATTTACACCATGGAAATTGGTAAACACTACAATCTAGGGTCCATCCCAGGCCTACGCTGCA